AAGCAGCATGAAAATAAAAGTGACTTTAACTGCAATGCAGCGATCAGACTGGAAAATGGCAAAATTCAGGTGGAAATGAGAACATTATAGATATAACAACAGCTGTGGGACTTAGAAGAGGATACAGGCCACAAGAGTGGGAAAATTTATAACAGGAGGTGTACTGGGATTTGAAAGAAACTACGGCAGTAATGGTAAGAGGAATGTGACAATGCCATCAGAATGCAAATGTGAACACCCACCACAGTGAGAATTTTTCCATACTATTTGAAAAAGAAAAAAAGCTTATGCAAGAAAAAAATACAAAATAAATGAGAGGCTGAAGCCAAGGGAATATGTCATGCCACCTTCTATTTTTCAGAGACACTGAGTTACTGGCTCAAACACTTCTACTGTATGTCTAATTGTAAGCACTGCCTTGACCATCCACAGTTGCTGATTCATGTTCATTTCCATACTGGTTTGACAGATAATTGATAGAAGACACATTATAGCTCTGAATATTTCAATGAATTGAATGTGTGTCTTTAGATTGGCAGATCAGGACGTTTCACTGAGGTACTTTATTTCAAATAAGTCTGCAAATTATCAAATGCTGCTGTTTCCATCAAGAAGATTTCCCAATGACGTGGACTTCGGTCACCCACTGAATGTGATGCTGAATTAAGTCTTCAGCAGTGACATCCAGAGGTTATGAATTCCTACAGCTGTGTCTTCGGCTTGACGATGCCAGACCACTTCCTTTCTCAACTCCAGCTAAATCAATGCAGTCATTACCTAAGCTTTGCAAGTAGAATCTATGTTTTTGGGTTGAGCATCGTGAGTTTGACAGTTAGCTCTATTTATTGATGATTAATGACTAGTATTTGGACAAAGGTAAACAAAAATTCTTAATAAATTGGAAGAGAGTGAAAATTGCCTGGGGCCCATTACTGAAGAAAGGGGGTAATATATCTAGCCAGAATGTGCACTTCTAAAGCACTAAGCTCGCCAATTAGACTACAGAAATGCCAACAGCTACAGGCATTAAAGCTTGTGGCTTTGTTAGCGCATGAAACAAACCTTTGAGCAAACTACATGTCTTGCTCTTGTACAGCTGCCTATAAACTCTGACTTTGTGCCCACCTTCCTGCTTCATGAAGTGTTTTCTTGACATTTATTGTTAATAATAAAAGTCAAGAAAAATGAAAGTAGGAGCCGTATTGATTCAGCAAAACAGCAGGAGCATATTTAATAGCCCACGCCTTTTACTTGATTCAAATATATTCAATTTCTATCAAGTCTGATTTATTTAATTACACTACAAATCTAAAAAGACCTTTTATGTTATGAGATACTAATTACATTAGACAGATTGCCATTCATCTGCTTATAGCAATATTTATTTCCACCACCATCAGTTAACATCAAAATAGTATTACCTCATCATCTTTTACAGTGGAAAAAATACTACTTTTCTGTATAGTTTTGTGTCTAGGTTGGTCCAGTTAAAGGCATGAGACAGTTTGCTTGGTTTGTATAATTAATATGTATAAATACTTTGTTTACCCTTAATCTCTAATTATTATAAATTATACATTCCATTTTTAGACAAGTTTCTCTACATTAAAGCTCTCTAAATCTATCCTGAGTTAGGAAGATAACCTCACAAATTTGAGACAATTAGTAGACTGAGAGCCACTGAGAGGGTGATTTTATAGGGGAAAAAGAAGAAACAGAAGCCAGACAAAACTTTTACAACCTTAATAAAAGAAAGACAGAAAATCTGCTGAAGTAGATGTGAAAAAATGTAGAAGAAATTAGAGTATGGATAAGAAAAGCAAAGCTTTGAATCAGGTTACACTCCCTTGCCTCTGCAGAGGATCCCTTCCATTGATGTCCCCTGCCTTCTCACACAAGCACACTTGGAAAAACTGAATCAGTCTTAATATCTCTCCAAACCTGGACAAGTGATTATCACTCTTTTTCTCCATCACTGCAACTCCTCTGGGCTCAAGAGTTTCCTAGAAAATCTATTAGATGCTTAACAACTATGGAGCTGGACTTCCAGAGGCTCTATTAAGGCAGTGGCAACTAGCACTTGAGGGCACTTAAGCCTTACTCTTTACAGATCTTTTCCTTACTTCCTTGACCTGCAATTTAAAAGAATCTCTTGTGAAGAAATTCTCTTCTCATGCAGATTCCTCCCCTCTCTTCTCCCACATCTTTGCGAACATACCTCCCCTTATGTTAAATGTGGCACGTACTTGTATTAGAAACCCAACTTTCAAGGTAAGAAGGCGTGCTTATATGATAAATCAGCTCTAACAAAGGTGTAGAACAAAAAAAATATTACACCAACACATTAGGCACAGGGGAAGTGATGAGAAATCAAAGGAAGTTCCCAGATATGTTTAGGGCTCCGGGGAGATCTTATAGCGGCCTTCCAATACCTGAAGGGGGTCTACAAGAAAGCTGGGGAAGGACTTTTCATAAGGGCAACTAATGACAAAACAAGGGGAAATGGGTTTAAACTGAAAGAGGGGAGGTTTAGATTAGATATTAGGAAGAAGTTCTTCACTGTGAGGGTGGTCAGACACTGGAACAGGTTGCCCAAGGAAGTTGTGGATGCCCCCTCCCTAGAAGTGTTGAAGGCCAGGCTGGATGAGGCTTTGAGCAACCTGGTCTAGTGGAAGGGGTCCCTGCTGCTGGCAGGGGGGTTGGAACTGGATGACCTTTAAGGTCCCCTCCAACCCAAACCCTTCCATGATTCTAGATATAATAAAAAAAAATACATCCTTTATTAAATGGCAGAATGCATCTCAGAAAATGATAAAAAGTAGGTTTGCTAGCCCCCAGAGAGAAATAAAAAGAGAGAATATTGTATAATTTTGTGAGGATTATGTTTCACTAGGGACATTCATGACTGTAATGAGCTAAAGAAGGGGTGAGACACTGCCTAAATTGATCTATACAACTGATTGTGCTTCTCTTGATAAAATAATTGTGTCAGTCTACTCTCTACTTAAAATAAACTTTACAACTCTGAGACGCAGTAAGTTGTTAAGCACTAAACACCATCACACACTTGTCACACTACTCTCGTTGTTTCGGAAACCTCAAAAGCGTCTGACATTTACTTCTCTGGTTGTAACATTGGAATTGCAGAAATGTAATTAGGAAAACCCTGGTACTCACAACAGAAAAGGTCAGCAATGTGCAAGCTAAACCTGATAATGTGTCTAACGTGCTGCCAAACATAACAAAATGCCTTCCTGATAATGAGTGATTTTACAGACTGCCATGAAGTTGCTGCAAGATAATCAGATCAACAGGTGGCATGCCACTACCTGAAAGACACGTAGGAGACTCCAAAATATTCTTTGATAGAGGTAAATAAGTCAATGCTGATGGAAAAATCTACCATCATAAAAGGACATGTTTTCAGAAATAATAAGATAAATAAATTGGGCAGAAAACACAAATGACAGAAGTTTCAGCGCTTGGAAAATGCAGAAGCCATTAATTCATCACAGGCAGTGCACTTTGTGCTTGTAGCCAACAACTAATACAACATCACCTCTGGGATGTAAAAGACAGTTCCTCTTTTTCTTTTCTTGTAGTAATCAATGCAAGTAGAGGTTAGAGGGTGTAGTTTTTCTGTTTGTCTTTCATACAGAGATACTCATGCAGCAGTACAGGCTCCGAGTTCCTCATGCATAGACCTCCTCCTTACTTGTGCCACTAATCCCACACAAGCTAATAGTGAACTTTAAGAGAAATGAAAAGTAATCGACAGGGTTCCTTTGATAAATGACATTTCATCAACAGTGCCAAAAAATACCTCATTACTGAACGCTGAAAGTAGCACTTATTAAAAGTTTTCTACCAAATACCTAAAGGCAGGTTAAACCTTTAGTGAAAAATGTTTTTGAGAGCTTGCAAACACCAAAGAAACATATATCTGTGATACCTGAATTCATCATGAACAGACAAAATCTATACAGTTCCCATGTCTAATTACAGACTATAATTTCTATTAGATTGTTTCATTTTATTTTGTCATTTTTATAGGAAGTTGCATTTTCTAAAAACACCAGAGGAAAAAAAATTACTGTAATGAACTATAGTGGGGCTTTTGCCTCTATATTCACTTAGGCTAAAATTCAAATTCCAGAACTCATAATTTTCCAGGAATTATCACATATGCATCTGTGATAAGAGAACATTATGTTTCCAGACTGCTAGATCCATATTGCAAAGCTGTATTAAAGGCAAATGCTAACTTTGTGTTATAGTTTCTCCTATACTTGAGCTGTACAAATTGATTTCATAATTAATGCAAAAGGCTGCTATTCTTTTAGTGTGAAACATATTGTTGCCTAATTAATTAAGGAAATCAAATAAATTGTAATTTAATGTGAACCTTCTTATTTTTCAATTTTATTAGAATAAGTAACATGAATTTAGGACATGGCATAATTTTGAGGACTGATTGTAATGATAGGCCAAGATGACGACAAGCTAACTTGTATAAGCTGAATTTTCTTAGTAGCAGGCTATAACTTAGGTGAAGAAAAGTATCTGATATCCTGTCTTTGGTGGTGTATAGAAAACAAAATAAAAGACATCAAACAGTCACCTGGCTGGTATTTCCATATTTCCTTTCATATATCCTTTTGTAACCAGCTTTATCTGAACAGTGAGTGCCTGAAGCAAGTATTTATAAAATGGTACCGACACACTGCAAAACTTTTTCATAGGTGCTTACTTTGCAAAAAGTTCACAATATAAGTGAATATATTTTGTTCAAACTGTATGAAGAGAGACAAGCCAATAAAAGGAAGTAAACATACTCCCAGTAACCAGGTGATAGCATCAATAAAAGTGCAATTATACTTCCAGCTTTTTGGGGGTTTTTTTTGCTATTTTGGTAATGATCATAAACAACTGATTGCACTTTTCTTCAAGTGCTACATATGCATAACCTGTACCAAAAAAACTAAGGAGAACACACTCACCATGTACTATCAGGACATATTCTGTGCTGTTTCGGCCAATAGGATTTTTTGCTTCACATCGGTATGTGCCATTGTCTGTTTTGTTTAGGAAACTGATGCTTAGGACCCTGCCATTGACAACCATTCTCTCTGGATCTGGTAGTTCTCCACCATCCTTTGTCCACAGTACTGGTTCTGGCCTGTTGGATCCAAAGCAATGCATTTAATCAGATACAAGAAGCACATATATGCAACATAGACATCAGAAACAATAGTATCACTAACTTCTGAATAGTAACCTGCCATCAAAGAACATTCAATTATCATTTGAGTGACTGGATATAACGACCTGTCACTATTGCAACCTCACCATCCCACATGGGAACTACTGAGGAAAGTGAAAGAACAAGCAGGGAAAAGAGAAACAAAAAAGGAAACAGAATGGAACTGGGACAAGGCCAGTATCTTCCCTAAACTAAAACCAAGTGCTCGCAAGGTTTCAGGGCCCACAGTTCAGCAAGATGCTTGGCAAGCTACGTGAAAACAACTTTCCGAGTAATATGGTCCTGTGTGGCTGACAGGCATCAGAAATCCCACAAGCAGGCTAAGGTAGATGTAAGTGGTTTGTAAATAGATTCTAAAATTATTTAGGCTGTTCACATTCACAAGTGCACTTGCATGCACTGAGTGTTTTTCCAGTACCAGGCATATCAGTCTCAAAGTAGCACATCTTACACACAATCTAAATTTGTTTCTGTAGCTGCATTGTATCACAGCCCATCCCTTTTTCCACCCTTTCTGCATCCTTCCCTTAAATAATTCCTTGTTGTACATGTTATCACAAGCAATAGAAGATTTGACTTAAAATCCCGGATTTCCTTCTTTTGTGAAACCTCTTCTTTTGTGTCTCCTGAGCTCACATCAAACAGGCCAAAGGCAAAGCAGTGACAGCGATAACCCCTTAGGCAAGTTGGGCACCACAGAGAAGGGAACTGACCCTCTTGCAGATTCACTTCCCACTGGCAAGTGATACCTAAATCTTTCCTAAAGACTCTCAAGAAGCTCCACAGTTCATGAGATTTGCCTAACAGACAGCAGGATGTATTTATTGCTGGCATACAGTCTTCACTTACATGTAACAAGATCTACTTTCAAATTTTTATGAGGGAATTTGAAAATTTCTCGGAAATATTCAAAGAAATTGAAAATTTCTTTTTTTTCTATACAGAAAAGAAACCAGGTCTGTGACTGGGAATAAGAAGTTGGCTTTCGGAATCCTGACAAACAGACAGAGCATCTCAGATCCTTAGGTACTCGTCACTAAAGCAAGATACAGACAACCTGGGGAGTCACTGCTACCTCACCTGTACCTGGTAGCTTTGTACATTATAATCCAAATATCAATTTCTTAGTTCTGGGTACACTGCTCCAGTAATTTCAGTCAGAAGCAGATCTGGATTTGCTTATTTGTTTGGTAGGAGAATGTTACATTCTATTTCCCTATTGAAGTGTGTAGTTGTATGATTAAATAATAAAAACAAAATCCAAAACGCTGTTATAAAAATCAGCAGATGCCAACTTAGTCACTACTTTTACTCAAGAGAAACTTAATTTCATTAATTTAAGCAGGTGTTTAAAGCTTTTAAAATATAATGAGTGCTAAAGAATAAGAATTAAATCTAAATACCTAAGGAGCGATGTTTTGCCAAAACGTGTCCTCATACACAGAAAAATAGTCCTAATGACTGCAGTGACCTGATTTTCTTTTAAATTAGCCAAGACATGTAAATAAAGTGAATTTTTCAGATATGTACTTACTGCTGTATAATTTCTATTACTTTTTTAAAGGGAAAATACTCTAGCTTGTGTTTCTCTTGAAAAATAACAGACATTTATACACATTTTAGTAATATTTGGATGGCACCTTGTTAAACTGGTAACTTGTTACCTAGACTGGCTGTTACCTGAAGTTATGATTATTTTAGAAAATCATATACTCAGGGAATATTTTATTCACATAATTTTAAACCAAGGATTAAGAACTGTTGGTGTAATGGGCCTTATTTATATCTTACCATAAATATGCCTTAATACTCTTCCTAAGTGCACTTTCAGGAAATGGTGTCTAAATACACGACACACAATATACACATTTCCTTTCTGCTTAATGCAAGCAGGGAATCTAGATGTCCGTGCTGTTGCAGAAACATTGCCCCACAGAGTTCACAACATTAAGGTGTGATTTGCTTTGATACGTTCAGGTGGATTTGTTCAATTTTCTAGCAAACTCCTCATTGTTCCTCAGTTCTCAGTTTACTGTGAACCTGTAATCCCCAGAGTGGAAACTCTGAAACACTGCTGCTACCATGTGCACCACTACCTTCATAAACAGCACATTAAAGCAACTTCTGTGCAGTGGAAATTTATAGAATTTAAGTTTTAAATTGAAATTAGATGGCATATCCTAGGGGAAAACCCACAGGATAAGAAATAAGTACGAAATGGAGCCTTAGCTATAAATTATTCAGGGAGCTTTGTCACATTGTAATATACCAACTTCAGTCTTCTACAGAGTGCTTTGCTATGGTTGCAAAATGATGGTGGCAGGAAAATCACAGCTTGGAGAGGAGGGAAATCTACATACTCTGCGTGTCAGGGAAGCTGTTAATTAGCAGTTAATATTAAGCCATCCTGTGCTGGCTTAGTGGCAGCAGTAGAGCAATTCCTGGGCAGCTGGCCCTTGGTCAACACACCACGGTGGCCGGGTACAGCTCGCACTCCATCTCGCCGCTCTCAGGAAGGACAGTGCCTAAAGCAGCAATTCTGTCACAGCCACCAAATTAAATTTTGCCTGCACTGCTGGGAAGCTTCGAGACATTCTGGTCTAAACAATTCATTAGCTAGGCAGAAGTGATGTAAGAACATGAGACATGCTCACACACCCAGGCCAGCACACTGCTGTGGTCAGTGAGAGGACCAGGAGAGAGGATGCTTAAGGAAATGATGTGAGTGTGGCCATTTTCTGTGCTCTGAGCTCTGCCAGCATCCACAATCGGTCTGTCGAGGATGTTAGAGGGCACATCTCTTCTTCTCTTTTGTATCTGCGTGGAATTTAGCCCTGTTGCCTATGAATGTCTCTAATATCTTTGTGAATCTGCTTATACTGTCTCAGCCCAGGTGCTGTATTTACTTCTATCTGTCTGACGCTGATCTCCCAGCAGTGACAATGAATATTGCAGGATAGGGTAAGTAAAGCTTCTGCATATCATAACCTTGTTAGAAGTTATGATAGCCTGGCACTCAGTACACCTGCCTCTCTCTCCCTCTTTCTCTCTTTGTTTGAATGTGATACCTTCTGAGATTATTGGCAGGGGAAAAAAATAAAATAAAAAACAAGAAAAAAGGGTGAAGGAACTGTAAATTTAGAGCATATTGGCTATATTTTGAGATTTGCTATAGTACCTTCACTGTTCAAAGCACAAATGCAGTTGAAACTCTGATGTGGAAGTTTTCCTTCTGAGACACAAAGCATAGAGAACTGTGAATTCCCCAGAGTTTATCCTATTGCAACACGTTCATGGGTGCAGATTCAGACAGAGGTTCTTTATCTTAACCAACATTTTGAAAAAGTTCTGGCTCAACTGAAGGATAGTTAGGTTTCACATTCTAAAACACCCAGAGAATGTGTACACTCCTAATATCACACACTTTTCTTCACTGCATGCATCTCCAGTACTGCAGAATTTCAGCTTTTTCTTTTCATAAGAGTTGCCACAACGCTATCCATTACTGAGTGAACTGGAACAAACAACACATCCTTGTGCCTTGCATTTGTGCTCACTTCAAGTTGAGTCACACTTACCAGCCTAATCCTCATTTTTCTCAGACAATCCTTAACACATCTTTTCTCCAAGCACAATATCTATTAAAGCTGGAATGAGCACTGTGGCCACTAATGCGATTGCATGTTACAACCTTCACACATTTATTTCATGGCACAAACAAGCTCACTGACCTGCTCTGTCCTAACAGGAGCACGCAGCCTGCTGGTACCAATACAGCCACCCAAAGAACAAGTCTGCCCTCCCATCTTGGATGAGAGGTGCTTTCCTATATCCTCAATTTAATCCCTCTCATGTGGATGCAGTTAAGTGGGAATGAGTTGTGTTATCACTTAGACCCTTCATTGGCTTGAGGGAGGTGGCAGAGCTGAAACACCAAGATGCTGCTTTCTTCCCCAAAACACAGCTCTGCTTCTAGTTTACCTATTCTAATTTGTTCCTAGTGTGACACTTTTTAAAAGGAAACCAAACAAATTCAGCATGCTGTACTGAAGGAATTATTTCCAAGACACAGCTCAACTGTGACAGCCCATGCTATTTCTTTGCGTAGCATGTGTTGCTTTTACTGATTTGGCTTTGCACACAGCTGCCTACAATGACACTATCAGGATAACTTTAAACTGAAAGAACCCAGAAACAGTAGTCACAAGCACACTAAAAATCCTTAATTATGACCAATGACTTCACTGTCACTTTCCCAAAAGAAATCTGAACTCTATATTCTCTCTGAAGAACTGCTAAATGGGCTTAAATTTTGGTACAATTTTGGTTTAATCCTAGAAGAAATGCCCAGTGGCTTTCAGTAACTGACTTGCAAAAGGAAACTGTTTTTTTGGTATAAATGAATGATTTTGTTAACTGCCTTCATGTTAGCCTCAAAAATTTGACATAAAAAGCAACAGAATTTAGTATTCTTTCCCAAACTGAAATGAGACTGCAATGAGGATATAAAAAAGATGGTATCATGTTCCAGAATGTTTCGTGTTTTATACTGTGGAATACAAGCTTTCTTGTAAGTAACTTAACAAAGAATTTGTAAATAAAGTGAAACTATTTTCTAATCCTAAGGCTAAATAAACTTTTCTTCCAAAATAAGTTGGTGAGAAAGCTAAAGGTAAACTGGAAAATATTGCCAAAAAAAGTTTTAAAAACCACTATCAGATTTGATTAGAAAAGAACACTTAGGCACAGGCTTACCTTTTAAACTAGCGTTTATGTAACATGAAAGTCAAGAGTTCATATTTAAGTCCACGTTAATGTTTTTTATAATCTAAGCTGATAAAAGTTACAGAGTGGTATTTTAAAATGAGTTTGTTAATTTTCCATCCCTTTCTCCATCCTTCACTTAATCCTCAGTGCTTTCCTGTAATCCTCCTTTCTA